GATAGATTATAACGTCTACCGAGTAAACAACACATAGGAGCAACATTATGAGAAATACAAATTTAAAAAATCTAATTCTATTAACTTGCCGGGATATAGTTGTCTTGGTTAAAATGTAGCGAGAAGACAAATGACAAGAAGTCGAATCGTACGCCCATTGTAGATACGAAGAGAAACTTGGTTTCGATGAATCTCCTGAGATAACATTGGTCCCCCTAATAATCTCAGGGGATTCATCAAAACCAAGTTTATCTTCATATCTACGAGGAAAACTATGTTAATAGTATGAGTAAAAAATTTAATAAAGCAACACCACTTTACATTCCCACATTAATGTCATTAGAGGGTTACAATATAAATACCTCAGAGGGTAAACTGGATGCGTAGGCATGGCGATCATCATCGCCACACTCCGGACCATCCGCAGTGTATGCGCCAAGGCTAAACGGATCTTCTGACCATCGGGTTACCCAGGCGGCCAGCAGGGAAATTTTGCCAGCTTGAGAAGCGCTGGGATACATTCCGCCAAATAAATTAAGCAGATCGGATACAATCTCATCATCACTTCTCCCAAACAATTGGAGACCTGAGCCAGCCCATACATGCGCGACTAGCACACCAGGCTGACCATAAAAATCCAAATTTAAAAGATGTAGACGAGGGTCCGGGCATTTAATTATGGCTGCATCGCGATCCCAAAACACATTGGACGGATCAAAAGAGAGTATAACCTGTGGAGGAAGAGTAATTCAAAAGTCAGCAAATGCACACACTGCTGTAAAAGCAATGTACTAATTCCAATTACAACTTGCCTTGTCATGTGTCTCTGCTCCTCGACGAGGTATTCCTAAACGCTGAATAGCAAGGCGCTTAGAGGCAGGAAGAGGTGGCTCAAAATGAACTGAACTGCGCTTGTCTAGGCCTTTAAGGACACCAACAGGCAGAGTAACAAGGCAGTAAGGAGCTGCGTAAACTCGAACAGGTCTAGATTTGCGACTGGCATCAGCATCTGTAACATCAACGGCTTCAACGTAAATCAGATTAGCATCAGTAGGAGTAGTCTCATTGATCCAAATAGGAGAATAATTAAGGATAGCATTTTTTTCATTAACATCAGTCCGGCTCTTAATATGGTCGTCACTAGTATTGTGAAGTGAGGATAAATGATGCTGAGAATGCCCCAAATTACTCAAGGCTGTAGAATGAGAAAGTTGATTGAACCGGTCTTCAGAAGATAAAAGAGTAGGTGTCTGAGCAAGAGTATTATTTAAACAATAAAGCAAAATTAGAATAAAACATCCAGAAAGCAGTTTTGAAAAGAATAAGAATGAAACAGCCTCAAAATGAGTTGGCTATTAGGGTGGATTTGTGGCTAAGCATGCGATTAACTAATTGTATGCTAATGAAACAATATAAGATACTGGTTCAAAGAATAGTATTAGCATCAGGAATAAACAGTGACAAGACAAATAATAATGATAAGACAAATCATGATGATTTACAAGTAGCGAGCGGCATAAACGTCATTAATTTGGTGTGATCTGACTGTTAAGATAGACCTATAAA